ACAGTAAAGTGTCACTTTCTACTTGAATGCAGCAATTACTGCACAGTACATTAGTCTAGTTCACTGTTTTCTAGTGCCTGTAAATAGAGGTACTAGAAATTGGCTCATTAAAATAATTCACCAAAGCGTACGTGTAGATGCTGACCAGGAACAAATTGCTCCCAGTCAACCTAGGTAGCAGGGGGCCACAGGGAGAGGGGAGAACTGTCCCAGCTCAGCAGGATGCTGCCTACCAGCCATGTGGAGATTGGGTCCTGCTCTGATTTCTATGTGGCTGGGAAAGAAGTCCCAGCTGCGTTCCAGCCAGGTGGAGACTCAAACCATCTCAATCTCCACCTGGCTGGGAGAGCTCTCCCAGCTGCCTCTCAGCCACGTGGGGATCTGGCAATACACCCCCCCCCCTCCACTTTGGTTGCTCTATAAGGTGCAACTCGACCCTGCCTTCTACTTGCCTCTGGCTTCTCAGCCTGAATGAACAGGTACCCATATACAACTGGATCGTAACATGAGTCCTGGGCAGCACTTGAACTCCTGCCTCTGGAACCATAGCAAGATAGATAGTGTAATTGCTCTGACATGATAGCCTCCCCAAACTGCCTGTAGAGAAAGCACACCTTTCATTCATCCTTCTTGAAGGGCCATGGCTCAATCTCCTCTTCACCAGCAAGGGATGTCATTCTGACCGACATATCAGTGGGAGGAAAGTCTTCCTGTGCTTTCTATGCTTGCTTAAGCACTTGCATAAGGGCCAGGAATGTTAGGAACCATTTTAGGATTAATGTAAACTAATTTTCAAAACCATTTTAGGCTTAGTGCAAACTACAGAGCTGCTGATGTAGACACAGCTCTACCAGAGGAAGGTGGTGGGGGAGAGAGGAGAGTTGCCACTATGGTCACACCAGCTTCCCTAAGGGCAGAAGTCCTGCTGGCAGAAGCTGCCTCCTGCTAGCAGAGCCACGTATCAATGAAAGGATTTGCTGGTATTGCTACATTAGCTGTGGGTGTAATTCTTCCAGACTCCCAGCCAACATAGCTAAGCTAGTCAGACTCTGTATTGTAGGCAAGGCTTTAGACCTTAGTGACCTTTTCAAAGGCATTAATGAGGGTCTTCTTTATATGACTCCAATTAAAGTATCCTGCCCTGACCAATTAAATTATAATTGGTAAGAAATAGTGTCCAAAAAATCAAGTGTTTGTATGTAGCTCCCACTAGTGTCCATGTGAAACACTGCTCTGACGCAGGGCAGAACTGGAGATGCCTGACTCAGATGAATGCCAGATTGCACTATTCAGAAGAAACACCTTGGCCACTGTGTACATCATTGCACACTGCTTATACAGTACCTTATTGCTTTGGGAACAAGACTTCGGAGAGTCTCAGAGCCTGACTCTTTCTTGCAGTGGCCCCTTTTGCAGCCCCTTATACCTGTATGAAACAAGAGTGAAATACTACCCTTCTATTATTACGTTAGTTAGTTATAGTACAGAAGCCTTAGTCAGGGGCCAGCTCCTTCATTGTGCTAGGCATTGTACAGACACAGGACAAAAAGACAGGTGGTAGCATTTTCCACTCCCCCTGCACTATGTAAGATTCAAAGGAGATGCAGGTCCTTGGAATCCAAGGAAGTGATGTGTATGGATAATATCAGCTAGGAACAAACAGAAATGGGACATTTTATATTTGGTACCAATGCAGATTCCCTTGAGTATTTCCCAGCTCATCAGGAAAAAGAGCTAATGGATTTTATAGCCCAGGGGGCCTTTTTGTCATGAGGGTGAGGACTGTGGAATAGGCAGAAATGCATTTCTTCAGCACCTGGTTGTAATGCAGAGCAGGGAAATGTGCTAAACACTCATGTCAGACGCCCACTGTCTCAATGGAAGGTATTTATAGCACTTGCTTCTGAGGAGGATGAAGGTAATACA